GCCTGCTTAGGATTCTCTCTCTTCCTTTCTCTCTGCCCTTCCTCTGCTCGTGCTCTCTCTCTCTCTCTCTCTCTCTCTCTCAAAATAAAGTTAAAAAAAAAAGAATAAAATTAAAAAGATTGAGGATACCAAAAGAATGTGTCAGAAATATATGCAGGAGCTAGAGCTCTCACACATTGTGGAGGAGAACAGAGAATGTGGGGGAGAACACGGAATGCGGGTGAGAACACAGAATCCAGGTGAGAACACAGAATGATACAACTACTTTGGAAAACAGCTTCTTTTGTAATTAAACATACACCTACCCTGTGGTCTAGCCATGTCACTTCTAGGCATTTATTCAAGAGCACCGGAAGCACATGGGCACACAAGCCTTGCGCACAAGTATCCACAGCCGCTTTATTTGTAACAGCCCCCTAACTGGAGACAAATCAAATGTCCAACCGCTGGTAAACGGCGTTTGAAAAGCTGATAGGCATCCGGTGGAAGCTACAGGAACAAACTGCTGTTACACACGGCACGGAGGGATCTCACCAGCATTCCGCTGAGTCAAAGAAGCCAGACACAAAGGGGACGCACTGTTTGATTCCATTTGTATAAAATTCCAGAAAATGCCAAGCAATCTACAGTGACAGAAAGCAGATCGATGTTTGCCTGGGGACGGGAGTGGCGAGAGATGGGCTGCAAAGGGGCAGCAAGCCAGAGAAAAGCTCTGCGTCGTGACTGTGGTGTGGGTGGCACGGGATGAATGCACCTGTGAAGCTCCTCGCGTCGTGTACTTTCGATAGGTACTGACTGTTTCTTGTACAAAAATCACAACTCAGTAAATTAATTTTGCATCTATTATGTTAAAAAAAAACATCACCTTCTGTACCCGCCCTCAAAGGCCTTGTAATCCAGAAAAGTAAAATGCAGTACAAAAAGTTGATTTTAGACCACCCTGTTCTATTCTAAGAAGCGTGGAATCAGCTGCAAAGCAGACAAAGAAGGGTTTCTGGAGGCTTTAAAGTAAGCAAGTGCTACGATGTAGATGATGGGCATTACTAACATTCACCAAATATTTCCAGCCCTCTTTGCAGGCGTGTGGTAGTCTTTCCCCATCCCTTACAAAATGAAGTGTGGTCAAGTGACCACTTTGGCCAATGAAACGCCAGTTTAGTATAATGAGTATGAGCCACATCCCTGTGGAAGCTTTCAGAGCAGTTTCTTACTTGACACATCCTCTCCCCCTTCTGAGATGAGAGAACATGTTGCATGGGAATTTCCAGGAGGTTCCTGAGTGGCTATCATAAGCAAAGCATCCTCCCCTCTCTCGCCTCCCCACACTCTGGGGTGAATATGTAATGTAAACAGAGAGGGAAAATCTTGTTACTGGAAGCCTCTGAAATTTGGGGACTGTTTCTAACTGTTCCAAAAGCAATCGGTCTTTTCCCATACGACGTGCAATTTTAAGTGGAACTCCGACAATGTCTTAGAAGATGGGTTTCAGAGGGAACTTGCAAGGCACTGGCTAGAAGGCTACCGTAATCCATGGATGGTAAGTGCAGGAACTGGGTAGGAGCTTAGAAAAGCAGTGAAGGAATCCAGAGATGTAAAATGGAAAAGAGCTGACAGGAGTTGATAATGACTCTGAGACTCAAAAACAACCTAAACGTCTGTTTTCGAGGTGCTGCAAAGAGAAGGTTTTTGAAACAAAAGGGATGGCTAAATGGGGAGATGAAGCAAAAAAAAAAAAAAAAAAAAAAAAAAAAAAAAAAAAAAAAAGATTAAGGAAAGGAGGAGCTACGGCCACCTCATCGAAAGCAGAGGCACATCCCTGTACAATAAAGGCTATAGAAAGATCAGGAACTTTGGAAGAAAACAGACCTGGGTGTGAATCCTGAGGCAACTGGTTACATCACTTAAGTCGTTCATTTACCAACAGTAAAGAACGCCAAAAGGACCCCTACCCTCACGGGGCTTACACTCAAAGGGAAGGAAGTGACCACTATATATTTAAGTACCGTGTAGAAAACCCACATGATGTTGTCATTATGGAAAAGGGGCAAAATAATAACATAAGGCTTGTCAAAACGACCACTTCATTTTGTTCAAAACTTTCATCTGCCATCAACATCAAAAGTAGAGACCTCTGTATCCTTTGTACGTACAAAAAGAGCCATCCCCCACTTTCCTTCTACTTTACCACATTTTAAGAACCAACGGTGAAAAATCAAGTCCCTTCACCCCAAGAATTCTGGTTTACTGACACTACCTAGTGAGTGTACCAAACATTTTGTGTGTCTATGTGTGTCTGGGTGTGACTATTTTTTTTTTAATTGAAGTACAGTTGACACAGAATATTACATTAGTTTCAGGTATACAACACTGTACCAAAGGAGAGTGTATGTATGTGGTGGGGAGGTGAGGGATGGGTGGTAAAATCTGGCTTTTAGACAAGCCACTTCTCAAAGTTTAATGTGAGGAGGAATCAGTGGGAGACCTTGGTGAATGCAGGCTCTGATTCAATGGGTCTGGGGTAGCGCCTAGGATTCTGCATTTTTTTTTTTTTTTTTGAGTAGGGTCCATGCCCAACACGGGGCTCGAACTCCCAACGCTGAGATCTAGAGTCACATGTTCTGCTGACTGAGCCAGCCAGGTGCCCTGAGACTCTGCATTTGTAACCAGCTCTCCAGAATGCCGAAGCTACTGCTCTCAGGATGCCAAGTAACATTGTTCTAGATGCCTTAGTAGTGGGTTGACCTCAAGGGAGCTAGTGGGGCGTGTTTGACCCTTGCCCTTTCCTACTGAGGAACTCCTACTCCTACTGAGTTGAGAAGAGCATCTCTATCTTGTGCCGCCATTTCTAATCGCGTTCACCCTACTTTCCTTTATGCGCCTGGAGAATCAGATCCCAAAATGTGCTTGTTTGGGGAAGACCCTGGACAAAGAGCTTCTAATGCCTTGCTGCACTGGATTCCTACAGCTCCTTGAGGTGGGGAGCATGATTACGCCCATTTTACAGAAGAGAAGACGCCATCCCAGATAGTTTAGCTCACACTAGCAGGTATGGAAAGGACTCAAAATCCAGAGTCTACCCCAGAGACCAAGCTCTTAACAACTGCTTCCTCCTTACCGTGTTTACATCACAGGTTTCTTTCCTGCTCTGTTGCAGCATCAGAAGCGACTTGCAGTTGATGGCTGCCTCCCATTTCAAAGTCGACAAAGCCAAGTCTGATCTTCTTTCAAAATGACTTGGTTTCAGGAAAAGGAATTGAAATCCAAAATGGAGAAATCTTCTGGAATTAAAAGAGAGGGGATTCAGCACTAGCATTGAGGGGGTTTTTTTGTTTTGATTTTTTTTTTTTTTTTTTTTTTTTTTTTTTTTTTTTTTTTTTTTGTCTACGAAGTAATGTGAGTTCATAGAATATTATCATACATCTTTTGGAATTCTTGGACACTCATATTTCATCAACTGAGCACCTGATGTCCTACCTAACAAGGGTGCCAGGAGGAGGTTCCTTAAGAGCCTTCCCTGTCAATAGGGAGAAGCTACTCCGTACCACAATGCAACATTATGTGTGCTAAAGAGTTTAACATATGTCCTTTGGATTTTTCTACAAAGAAGAGACCCTAATTCAATTCAGCTAACCAAAGTTTGCATGTAAAACAGTAGCTCTCAAACACAGTTGCACACGGGAATTTCCAGGGAATTTTACAGCACACCTGAGTCCTACCCGTGAAAGGTCTGGTGTGACTGGCTTGGGATGCATTGGGTATCAGGATTTTTAGAACTTCTTAGGAGCTTCTAATGCACAGCCACAGTTGACAATCGCTGGCATGAAAAACAGAGGGAAGACGGTAAAATTCACTCTCCAGCCAAAAAAAAAAAAAAAAAAAGGGTGGGGGGGAAGAGGAGATGTCTTCATCCATCCGCTGTTAGGGTTTTGCCTACGTACATGGCTACATAGGTCTAACACAATAATCAACCCTATTCTAAGTGCCAGCAAGTGGTTCCCCACAATCACTGACCAAACCACACATTTCACACTTGGCATTTGATGGCCATCTACTGCAGATGTCAGCAACACTGCCCCAAAGCAGGGGCGCTTAACATGGAGACGGAATTCAGGTGGCCTGTTGAACGTATGGCAACAAAAAGCCCATGTCCCTTTTCTCTAACCTTTCCTGGAAGTTCCCCATTTCCGGCAGTGATGAATACAGGCTACAAACTACAATAGCATGGGCACTTCTTGGGAGTTTGCATCCGCTAATACTTTCACATCTTAGTTTTGCCGTCACCACTACTGGAGATTACAGTTGTTGAACGGATCTGCCGTTAGACAGAGGGGTGTTCAGTGCAACGATAAGGTTGCACCTCTGCGGTTGTATCACCACTTTGATGCTCTGATTTGTACTCCAGTAGAAGTGATTCTGATTTAATTGTATTTTTCTGTATGTAATGACATGATTCCCAGAAGGGATCTAAATGCACCCCCCCCCACCCCCACCCCGGAACCAACGTGGTGAGTGGCACGTCGGTTCACTGATCTGAAGACAGGGCTCTAAGAAGCAAGACCCTGCGCGTTTGTATCCGCGTTCACGAAAGGCCCTCTCAGGAGCTCGACACCCAGGACGAAGTTGGCTCTTGATTTTCCCCTGCGTTTCCGCAGATAAGATTTACCCTGAAAAGCCAGTTCAACGTAGCAGAGAATAGGATGGGCTTTCTCTTTCCCCTCAGCTGCCTCCTGCTCTTGGCATTCCCGAGTGCCCAGACTGCCAGGCTGGTAACTCGAGCCTCCAAATTAATCAACACACAGCGCCCAGTTCAAGCCCAGGCAGACAAGCCCGGGAGCCAGACAAGCTCTCCTCTGGTGACCCCGGGGCCCCAACCCCGCAGCCCCTCCCGCCACCCTCACAGGCCACGCTTCCTCCACTGCCTGCCCCCGCCCCGCACTCCCCAGGGCAGGTGCCCGGGGCC